AATTTATTTTACCAAATTATTTTAGGTCTTTAAAAATTAATTTAGAAATTACTTTCACCAAATTAATTTAGAATTTTATGCAAATCGCCGTGTTGGCGACTCAAACCGCTGTCTCAAATTGCCGTCGCTGGTGCTACATGATCAAATTCCGTCACTGGTGCGCTCATTTTTTATCAGTTATACAGTCAATCAACGTCTCTGTTTTTCTCTTTCTAAAACTGTAGGTTTAGTTATCTTATATTTTTTTGCCTCATCGTTATCTTCATTGCATCATCTGATAGACTTTACTGCTTCCAGCTGTGGAGCATTTCTTTTGGGCCTTGTTTTAAAAGCTACCTTGTTATTTAAATTAGTTAAAATTTTAGTTAAGATAGTTATGCTACATAGTTATGGGATTAAATTCACAAGTATTTCTTTTTGACATGAGAAAATCGGCTCTACTGAAGCTAATTCTTATTGTTTTTTGGATCCACTCGTGTAATGTTAATGATGCGCCAGAATTATTAAAGTTTTGGCTATATAAATTAACCAAGGATATATGTTTACACTCAAAACGGGCTCATGAGGAACAAAACGAGGTGGTCTTCTCCTTTCTTAAAAGTTATAGAAATTTATCTTTAATCCTCATTTTATTAACTCAGAGTTCATACCTCCTTTTGCCTTCTATAATTATGACAGAAATTCCCGGTCCAATATCGGAATTTTTTGGGGTTTCAATTGATTGCTTCCATGATGAGAACCTCAAACCTACGGTTTAATTTCTTTCACGCTGTCAAACAGATCACATGATGGGCCTAAATGAGCCTGAGCTCTCCGAAAGGTTAAAAAACTATAACTTAAAAATTTTTTGTCAAAAAGTTTCGGCTGCTTTTTTGGGTGAATTGCCGCTTTATGTTCACTTAACTCCATTTATAATACCTCGGTATTCAGATAATGAGATTACATTAAATATTTCATCGGAAGGGGCGAGACACATAAACCAACTGTCAATTTTATTCCTGCAGGTCACTGTCCAGGTTCAGTAATGTTCTTACTAGTTCCCAATAAAAAGTCTGCCCTTTTACTGGCAATTTCAGATGGCAAGTTTGTCATACGAAGCGAATCAATCTTCTTTTCGACAATTTACAAGAAGCTGCTGTTCACAATTTTGATAATATTTACATTGACACAACGTTTTGCAAAACAGATTCCAATTTAATACCTTGTAGGGAGAGCTGTTTTTCAGCCATCTTTCAAGCCGTGTCCGCATGGCTCTGTTCATTTCAAATTAATGTGGTCCTTTTTTCTAACAAATCTCGCTACGGTTATGAGTTTTTGACGAAAGAGCTTGCAATTAGATTCAACACTAAAGTCTACGTTTCATTTTGTCAGTATCGACTGTTCAAAATTGGCTCACCTTAGATGTCGAAAGTACCAAAATCCAATTCTGCAAGCCGTCGTCTGGGTCTGCGAACTTAAAACTGCTTGAAATCCGGGCATCCCACTTCCAGAAGTGCTTACAATCATTCCAACCGCAATGTTCTTCACTAAAAACGAAATAATGTCTGGGAGATTGGTTTAAGCAGTGTCTGAGAGAACTATTCGGTGCTGTTATTCTTCGCACTCATCAGCTGACGAAATATTTGATTTTTTTTCCAGTCTGCAGTTCGAAAGTATTACACCTTTCGTTTGTCCGGATAAAGATACTCCACTTGACTCTGTGAAAGCTTTTTTTTTTAAAGTACGCTCAAACATCAGAACATAAACACGTCAAACTGTTTGAGTACAAAGTTGTGGAAAGAAAAAATCAAATTCAATAAGAGAGATAAAGGCAAACACGCCAGACTACGAAAACCATAGTGAACCATTAAGACAACAGAGACGCTTTGTCGAATGTGGAGTTTTCGAGAGAAAGGATTTAGAAACAGCCGAAACAGCCGAGGAGACCATTTTTTCAACAGAAACACCAGACTATGAATATCATAGTGAGCCATTGGGACAACAGAGACGCTTTGTCGAATGTGGAGTTTTCGAGAGAAAGGATTCAGAAACAGGCGAAACAGCCAAGGATAGAAATATTTCAACAGAAACACCAGACTATGAATACCATAGTGAGCCATTAAGACCACAGAGACGCTTTGTCGAATGTGGAGTTTTCGAGAGAAAGGTTTCAGAAACAGGCGAAACAGCCGAGGGGAGAAATATTTCAACAGAAACACCAGACTATGAATACCATAGTGAGCCATTAAGACAACAGAGACGCTTTGTCGAATGTGGAGTTTTCGAGAAAAAGGATTCAGAAACAGCCGAAACAGCCGAGAAGACCAATTTTTCAACAGAAACACCAGACTATGAATATCATAGTGAGCCATTGGGACAACAGAGACGCTTTGTCGAATGTGGAGTTTTCGAGAGAAAGGATTCAGAAACAGGCGAAACAGCCAAGGATAGAAATATTTCAACAGAAACACCAGACTATGAATACCATAGTGAGCCATTAAGACCACAGAGACGCTTTGTCGAATGTGGAGTTTTCGAGAGAAAGGTTTCAGAAACAGGCGAAACAGCCGAGGGGAGAAATATTTCAACAGAAACACCAGACTATGAATACCATAGTGAGCCATTAAGACAACAGAGACGCTTTGTCGAATGTGGAGTTTTCGAGAGAAAGGATTCAGAAACAGGCGAAACAGCCGAGGAGAGAAATATTTCAACAGAAACACCAGACTATGATTACCATAGTGAGCCATTGAGACAACACGGACGCTCTGTCGAAGGTAGAGATTTTGAGGAAAAGGATTCCGAAACAGCCGTGGAAAGAACAGAAAAATTAATCCAATTGCTCAACAAAAGTTTAAAACAAAGTTTTACTTTTTGTACTGTAGTTTTACCGCTTGCATAAGTTTTTCCTTTCAGTTTTAATTAAACGAAGGTTTTTTAATCCAGTTTTCAGAGGACATTTCAGTTCGGCTTTCAAAAAAGGCAATCGAGCCGTCCTTTATCTCGTTTCAAATACTGAACCATCTCTCATCTCAAATACTCGTCTCAAATACTGAACCATCCCATCTCGAACACTGATAAGTGCGATGATAATTTTTGAAACAACTGAACCATCACATCTCAAATACTGATGATGATTTCTTAACCATATCTGAACCATCTCATCTCAGTTACTGATGAGTGGCTTAACTGCCCCCATTTAAAATATGAATTGCCATTTCAAACCCTGATTAGCCATTTCAAACCCATCTCAAACCATCACAAGCCCTAAATGGCTTCAGATGATTGTGATTTCCGATCTCAAAATTCATCCCAACGGCAAACATTTGACATCCGTAAAGTTAACCAATGTTTTAAGATTTGTCTGTGGATTTCGCTGACAAATGAACGAGTCCTTGCTTTCAAATTGCGCGTTCCTATAGATAATAATTCAAATGTTCCACCTCTAGCTTTTAATTGTTCAAATGCAAGTTCATTTTTAAACAAAAATGCGGAATCAACTTACATTTTGCGGAATCCGCTTACATTTGCGATTTCCGCATACAAATTTTGCGGATTTCACTTACATTTTGCGGAATCCTGAACAACTAGCTAGTTTCTCAACTAGCTTTTCTAGAGACCACTGAAATTTTGTTTGTGGAATCCACTAACGTTTTGAAACATATTTAAAGGATTAACTCTGGAATCCAGGAAGATACAGACATAAAATTGTGCGCCTATCCAGTGCACAGCTCGGCCTCGTAATGAATACTCTATTGCGTACTTGGCAAAATTTTTGTTACCAAATCGGTAGCCATAGGCCTCGAGTGACACCCTTCGTAAATCGTCGGACACCTTGTTGCCGTCGTCTGATTGTTCTTCGATTGCTTTGACTAAGTGTTTGACCGGTTCCCCAAATCTTTTTGGCGGATCGTTCTTGTTGGACCTCTGGTTTTCCGTTTCATCCAATTGATTTTGTCGTGCTGCTGCTTCCCCGGGTTGAAGTCCTACATTTAATCATCGCTTTTTCTGTAGTTTTCCAGTGATCGCTAGTTTTTAGCGCTGATTCATGTATAATTCAGAGTTTGGTGCATAGATAAACCTGTGGTTTTTCAGAGCTATTTCAGTAATGATTCCGTACAAAATCATCGCTAAAACTTGAGAAATTTTAATTCATTCTAGTAGCTTTCAAATGAGAGTTATAGCTGATAAGCTCATTAGCTTATCAGGTATAAGTATTGATAGCGCAGAGGTAGCAAACAGTTGTCCACATCGCAAAGTTAGGGGATCGAACCCCTGTTAGAGAACTATTTTTCTCATTTTGATGTTTTTATCGCTGTTTCATCGCTGAAATTAAGCCAAATTAGAAATTTTTATAGATAAAATTTGCTATTGTGGCAGTGAACATAGATAATTGATCGATCGCGATCGCTGTTTTTTTTTCACTTTTTTATCGCTAGTTTTCAATGTGAGCTGAACCCGGGTCTGCGGTAGCAGTCGTTGACACTTCTTTTTATGGCTCTGCTAGTTTCTCCGACCAAACAGGTTTGGGATTAGAAGGATTTTCTCTCATCCTCTCCGTAAGGTTTGTTCTGTCATCTCTAGTCTCTCTTTTTGCGTCGTCTCTTTTTTTTTCAAATATGTTAAGAGTTTCTTCTAGTTTCTTTTTAGTTGAATTCGTTCTCCCTATTCAAACAGTTAAGGCGTTGTCGTTAAGTTTTCTTTCAACCCCTTGCTGAGTCGTGCCTGCTTTTGCGCTACCGACTCGTTTTTTCTAGCTCTTTGCGCTGATTGACTCTCCTTGTTCTCCGACGCTTTAAATTTGACTTCCTCCTGAATTTTTGGTCTGGTACTCGACCCCCTCCCCTTGATTCGCATTCGCCCTGTGCGTGTCCCATTTGATTATGCATGTTAGCTCTGTATCCATGGATGTCACTAGCGTCGTACTTTCCGTGAAATCTGAAAATTGTACACAAACCAGTTTTACTTTTCTTTTTCAATTTTGTTCATTGCTCTATTTATTTTTCAATGAAACTTTTTAGACCCCGGTCACCGCGTGCGCCGCCTCCACCCAGAGCGAGAGTAAGACCCCTAACACCACCTCTCTCAATTGACAGCGGGGCAAGGCGACCAGCAGCCCTCGTGCCCCCCTACTCTGCGACTGCTCCCTTGGTGCTAATGCAACCGCCTACTGCTGACAACTCCGCTTATTTTAGAAGGATGGATGAAATTGAAGATAGGTAAGTTATGTGCTGGCGGGTTAACCAGCTCAAACACATCCTAGTCGACATTTTCCCCTACATTTGAAGCAAGATTTGAAAGGTTTGAGCGGTTCTTTTAGACGATTGCGCTGTAACTCTTGCTTCAAAATGAGCGCAGTATTAGTGGCTTTTGAGCCGTTTTTGCGAAACATATAACCTTGAAACTGATGCTTATGTGAGGCGGGGTGGGGGGGTATATCCATAAAATGTTCTGATAAAAAAATTTTAAATTTAAAGGATTGGAAGAAAAATAAATTGTTTTTCGATGTTCTATATTTCGTTTAATTACCGCTGAACCCGAAAAACTAAGTGGTGAATTAGCAAATTTCGACTTTTTCGCTAGCCAATTTTGAAGGAACTTATTTTACATCAATCCAAAGCTATTATTGTCCTGAGCTTAAATTTGAAAAGATATTTTACCTGTGATCATTTTTCGAAAAGTTATGAGGGTTTAAAGATTGCCATTTTGGCCAAATTAGAAAATTAACGCGCGATATAATTCGCGCTATAAACGTGTAAGCGGAGATTAAATCCGTCTTAGAAATCGTTCCAAATTGGTTCAAGGAAGATTATATGCCATAATTGATTTGTTAATAGGAGCAAATTTTATCCCTGTGTACTTCTTATGGCGTGTGGGCGGATGTTTTCACAAATTGTTTTTATTTTACTTATCACATTTAAACTTTCCAGGTTATTACTGCTCCATAGACCATAAAAGGCAGTCAGAACATTCAGGGCTTTGCCCTGATACGAGCAGTCTTGTTTATACATATGTTTAGTGACTCGAACTACAGTGCTGATTTAAATTATCCGGACAAAACGAACAAAACTTAAATTTTCAAACGCGTTTTTCTCAAATTGGGTTGAGATTAGACAAAAAGAGAGGAGAACAAAAATTGCTTAGATTTTCATCAGCAATTTTACGGTGTAATTTCAACACCATAAAAACATTTTGGCTTTTTTCAATTAATCAGGAATTACGCTGAAACTACCTAGTTAATTCATAAGAAAATCATTTCACAGGAAGCCTCTTACGCAGCTCAACAAAAACTAAGAAGAGTTAAGTCTCAAAAAATCAGTATACGAGAAAACATTTTCAGTAACAAAAAGTTTATTTTTTTACTATATAAAACCCAGAATACCTGTTTAAAATTAAATTTTAAACAATTTGCGCAATTTTTTGGAGATCTAACTCTTCTTAAATTTTGTTGAGCTGCGTAAGAGGCTTCCTGTGAAATAATTGTTTCATCAATTAATTAAGTAGTTTCAGTGTTCTTGATAAATTGAAAAAAGCCAAAAAGACCCATTTCGGGGGTAAAATTTCTGCAGAATTAATATGATGTAATTTGTTTTGCGAAATTCGGGCCCAAAATTTTACCCCAATTTTGGCTTTTCTTAGTTTATCAAAAATTACGCCGAAAACACCCAGGCAATCACCGACATAATTATCTCCAAGTTAGCCCCTTACTTAGCTCAACAAACTTTAAGAAGAGTAATTTCTCCAAAGAAAGTTGCAAATTGTTTAAAAACTGTTTTCAAATAAAAAGTTGGTATTTTATTTAGGGATCCACAGAACTTGATTATTGATTTTGTAAGCAACCTCGAACTGTTGGCTAAAAAAGTATCCCAAAAATGAGAACAAAAATTAGGGATATTGAGTAGCCGCCATTGAACGAATGAAAAAGATACTTGATCAGCTAAACGAACGAAGTAAAAATTTTTCAAGTAGCAAATTTGAGCACGAAGACGAATGCATTGAACAATCGGAAGAGTCAGATATGTCGCACAGTTTTTAGGAATAAAACAACAACTCCATGATTTGAAACAGCATCTTGAAAGATATGTTAATACTTTTTCTGTTCGTGGATTTAACGGCGGTAGATAGGATTTGAATTTGATTCAGGATAAAGAACAGGAAACATCAGTCATCAAAAAAGCGAACGACTTTATATTTTTCAATTGTGGAGATGTACATTTTCTCGATATAATGAAGTTTCGGATGGAGTAACTGCTCTGGACTTTTTTCTCAGAGCATATAAAGCTAGCAAAACGAAAATATTCTTCCCCTTTGAGTGGTTTAACAACACAGACAAACTTGATTTTCCCGATTTGCCGACCTATGATGTCTTTTTCAATAAAACTGAAACAACAATCCTCTAGACAAAGACTTTTTTGGTTATTAGAAGCTGAGAAAGAGTATCCTTGACAATCAACAAGCAATGAAAAGGCCTCAAATCAAGACTAAGCCTCCATCAGGTTTGGATGATTACAAATACTTATGAGAGACGTAGAAGGAAAACAAAACGACTGTGTTCAAAGATTTTTGCAGTATTGCAACAACAAAGAAGCAATGCAAACTTTGATCAAATTTTATTTTAACAGGGATAGACATGTTGACACTTGGATGTACACTTCCGATTCTAGAAAACGATTGTCTGCAATAATCTATATATTATTTAAAAAATGGAAATTTTGAGAATTTTGTGAAAAAATACAAGACATGACGAGTGGTCCTTCGATTGTGTTTACCCGAAAAGCTGTAGTTGATGAGAATTTTATCAGAATTTCATCAAAAGTATGTGAGCGAATCGTTAAGATTGCTGCAAGTCAGATATATTTTTTCTCAATTGGTCAAGATATGCAAACATGAATGTACATGTGCAGGGAGTTTGACACCAATTTGCAGAAAAGTAAAACTAGACATAACCGTTTACGCATTTTGAGATTCTGGCCATATCTTTCTACCAGCTACAAAGGCAAAAATGCAAAATTGAGAGCTTTTTTGCATCTGGAAAACAGAAAAAAATTGACTGTTTTAATGTAGACGGTAATTTTGATCACTGTAAAACAGTATTCGAAGCATTGGATTGTTACTACCAGTTCAGTTCCTGTCAAGAAGCTGGTCCCTCCTTAACAGATCAGGATAATGATCGAGGTAATAAGAAGAGAGGGCTGCAGGATATGTGACGGGTAAATATGAAAAGAAAGGCTACAAATTTGAAGAAATGTGGGATTTTGAGTGGTGGGAAAATTTCAAAACCAATGACAAAGTCAAAAATCATATCCGAACCCCTTCTCCGTACAAAAGACTTTTTTCTACAGACTCCCTTCATGTAAAAAGAAAAACTGGATCTCTCTTTGGCTATGTTCAGTGTGATTTAAATGATCCAGATGAATTAAAATTAAAATTTGCCAACTTTACTTCATTTTTCAAAAAACTGAAGTACAAAGAAACGATATTGGAGACTACATGAAAAACTATGCACTCGATAATGAGATATTAAAAATCCCTCGGAGAATGCAGATATTTAGTTTTAAGCTAGAGACTGGAACAGTTATAACCCCTCTCTTCAATTTTCATTGGGAACTTGATGTGCGGTGCACCAAATTTAACCGTTTCGTTCTCCTCGAAAAGGTTTCGAAAAAGTTCTCGTGCAATCATTCATTGATACTATTCGAGAAAGAGTTGAAAACTCATTATCAGTAGTTGTAGCAGAATCAATGAAAATTTTTTGATGATTCCTTCTATGGATATCAAATCATGAAAGATCCAGGCATACAATTACGAAATATCTGAACGATCAAAAAATGCACAAGTCAATCAATGAACCCTTATTCAGAAGATTGAATACAGTTGATACAAGTTTTTCTGAGGTGAAGTTGTTGAAATTAACTATTGAACATAGAGAACCCATACTTGTTGGATTTTTCACACTGCAGTTTGCAAAGCTGAGAGTATTGGAGCTGTACTACAATTTCGTTGACAAGTTCTGCGATGTAAAGAAATTTGAAGAGTTGGAGATGAGTACAGACTCACTTTACTTAGCACTTGCTGAAGAAAACTTATATTGCTGTATCCAACCAGATAAGATAGCTGTTCGGGAAAAAATGAGGAAAAATGATTGCAGAAAATTTTTCTAGTCAGAATGCAAAATCTAGTTTTTTTCCTCAAAGGTGTTGCAGTATCCATAAAAAAAAACATGACAAGCGGGAGCCGAGATTTTCACAGACGTTTTTAGATATACAGATAAGTTCAAATTTAGTAGTGAAGGTGTGAACAAACGAGTTCTGGTAGATTCCGGAGATGAACCAATGTCAAAATACAGGAGAGTGTTTGACGAAGCAGTCAACCTCACAACTACAAACGAATCAAATGATTGAAACGTATAGGCAGACAAACAAATGACTTAGTTATTATCATCCAAAAGACATGTTCAAATTGATGGAACTCATATCACCTATTTTAGTTTTTTTTGCTTCAGTCGTGTTGTTTGGGCGGAAGGGGCGGGGGGGTCCCCTGGAGACTTCCATGTTTTAAGATAGGGGAATAGAACCTTCGGTCTCCAAGCTATGTGTTAGAATTGGGTATAGAGTCTACAATTCATTCAATTGGGGAATAGGGTTGGTAAGGTTTCAGAGTGATGAGAAGAGAATGGTACGAAAAACTGTAATTTTTTGGATTTTGCGTGGAAGTGCTTAGTTTTTTTCGCAAAAACTACGGAACGCGTTTTCTAACTGGTAAATATCAAAAAATAATTACATGTAGATTGTGGAATGAAGGTCTTGTAATCACAATTTTGGTTCATGGTAAATCAATGGTTAGAGTGATTGGGAAAAAAATATTTTATAAAAAAAAAGAAATTATTTCTAAAAGCTTCAAAACACGTTAGGATTTGATGTAATTTCCCTTAATATTTAATTAATTAGATAATCTTGCTCTTCGCAACTGTGCTATATCTACCTGAAACTTTGCTGAACTTACTGAAAATTCGGAAAATCATGTTTTTTGAGTCATTACGAGGCCAAACTGTGCATTTTGTGCATTGTAAGCGGATTCCGCAACAAGGACGCTAGTAGTAGAAGAGTGAGCTGATCAGGAGGGGGGGGGGGGCTGATGTATTAAGGTAGGCTATAGATTTCCTATGAACTAAGATAGGGAATAGTCTTCTCAATGTATTAAGATAGTAGGTTTCAGATGG